TCTATCACATATATTCCGGTTTTTTCGAAAAGTCAAAAACTTTTTGAAAAAAATGTAAAAATGTAAATTTTGAATTTTATTATAAAAATTTTCGAAATTTTAAAAATTTCGAAAATCCGAGATAGCAGTTTAATAGCGCAGTCTATTCTGAGTCCTCCCATGCAAAGAAATTGGATCTAGCTTAAAAACTGAGCGCTTGGGAGCGATTGCCGTGGTTCGATGTTTTGCGTCGAAATCGGCCGAACATGACGTCACTCTGACGTCATTTCCGGCCGACATATGGTAGCTACGAAGTTCAAATTTGGCACAAGGTGTCAAATTGATGCAGCCGAAGGTCCTGAAAGTTTGGCGTCGATACGTCAAGCGGTTTGGAAGTTATTGCAGAAAAACGGGAGGGGGGCTATAAATAGCCCCCCCAGTGGGGCGCGGGTTAATGACTCACGGGGTAGTTGGCTAACCGTGGTAATGTATGTGCCCATCCATAGACCTCTGTATACAGAGGTCTATGGCCCATCATAACCAAAAACTCGTATTGTACTCACACATACTTGCATTGACGCATCAACAAGGCGAGGCGGCCGCTGGTGTGCGTCGTACCGTTTATGTAGATTACGAGATAATTGGTCGCGCGTGGATACACATGGTCGAATAGTCACACCATCGGCACAGCCTGTGACCGGTGGCCAATTAGATTCATGGGAAGTACACTTATTTAGAATAAAGTAATTATTGTTTAGACCGTGGAAGTGGCAGTGGTCCATCTCCAATATCCATGCTTTGTTCATCATTTCGCTGTATAGGTATATTATAAAATGCTGCTGCTTATTGGCTCGCCATGCAGTCCAAGCTTGGCCATTAGATTACGAACAGCAACATTGCTAATTTGTTGTATCCAGTAAAGGGTAATTGCTCTGTAATCACGTCTTAATTAACCCACCACTCCATCTCCTGATTAAGTTCGTGACATCCTCTACCCGTTCTTTGACCATTCAGGGCAGCCGTACGGTCAAGAACAATGGGGCGCCGTGAGTCAGATGGTCGCGGACACCGGCTGTCTGAGCACGCCGCCAGTTGCTCCCGTTTGGAGCGGCACAGTTGAGCAGGGATGAATGATGGCACGCCGGCGTCAGGTGTTGACTGGACGCCGGATAACGGCCACACTGAACGGACCGAGTGGATTGAGATGAATTGTGCACGTGGATGCGGAGCGGAACAGTGACTAGAGCACTTCTACTGAGAACGTGGACTGTGGAGCATGGTGGATAGGACGGAGCGGAGATCGCGGTCCGTGTAAAATAAACGGGCAAATGGCCGGTACCGGGAACCGGGGCATCAGGCTCACAGGTTGGCACCAAATGTGGCTGTTTCAAACAGGCAGCTACTTCACTTGCAGCGAATATCATACTGGCATTTTGGACTGGAGAACAACACTCGCCATTAGGTATAGCCTTTGATATCCATCGATGACGGTTACCTACCTGCCGGTCGCGAACTTGTGAATTATGGATGCAAGGTTTCGGGCTTCGCCTTGATCGTGATCAAGTGGATATCATCCAGGATTATGACATTTTATTTTTTGCTTTATTTACTGAACAACTAATTCATCGCAACTTTGTATGCAAACCTTAATTGGTGCATTATGATGTCGGTATTCAGTGCATGACTAGTACTGATTTTCCTTCATAGATGTCGCTAGGAGAAAACGCCTGAAAGTATGCTATCCCGCATGGCTTGGAATTAAAATGCAGCTAAAGAAATTAAGACGCATTTTACATCCTTCAGAAGACAAGTAAATCCAAAATAAAACTTAGATAAGCACGACTGTTGCTTTTCAATTTATCATATGGAAATTCAATACTAAAACGGCGAGTTTTATGCAGAATGGTAGGTACAGAAGCTGTGAATACCCTTCTCGTCATTCACTTGTCTGTGTTTTAGAAATAAGAAATGGGCCCAAAGGTGGCGCATAAGGTTCATAAGCGCAATGGGAGAAAAACTGGCGGTGTGTTGTGTGGGGCAAGGCCGTATAAGTTAGGTAAGATCGTCCGGGCTCGCTAATGTTACAAATCTGCAGCACTACGGTGACGTCACCGGAGCATACGCTCCCTGGCTCCATCCGGACCCTGATTCGGCGGCTGGAATCGCTACTAATCGAAAAATTACTTGTGAAATAGCGCTTTTAAATGACTTTAAAAAAGGGGAAAATATGATTGCAAAATAATCATGAGAACCCCTTGTCCTGACTGGGATTGTATGACCCCGCCACCTAGCGGACAACGTTGTAATTAGGGTTGAGTTGGCGATCGCCAGGTGGCTTGTCAGTAAGCTGTCAGCCGCAGACAGGAGAGGGGCCGTCAGGCGCTTAATATTATGTAAACGCCAGATCATGCTCAGGAAAATGCGACACGCTTCAGAACGGTCATTTATCTCGAAAAAGATGCGGTGCCCTGTGGTGATATGGCCCACATGACTCGGGACCCGTAGGCCGTACCTACACGGCCTACGGGTCCCCGAGTCGTCAGGGGCCTTATAAGGGCCCTGTGGTCACCGGCAGGTCCCAAGGCCCCTACGGACGCGATACATACTTCGAAAATCGCTAGACAAAGGACTCGGGGGCGCAGCCAAGGGGGGAGGGGCACACTGGGCTTTAGCCCCTCCCAAATCTAGCAGGCGCCCTCTGGAAATACACCATCCAGGGCGCCCTGGATGGCGCCTTCCACGATCATTCTGTGCGCCGATGGCGCCTTTTCAGTGTCCAGCACTCAAGTCGTCCTCGACGGTAAGCCATTGCGGCGTCATCATGCGGTGCTGGCGCCCAGATTTACAATTTTATATCTCTTTGTGGGTGAAGATACACCCACAATCCTGAAATGCCGGATATCCACTCCCAATATCCTGACCATCTAGCGCCCTCGGCTCACCTTCAGCGCCCTTCTGTCTGCTCGGCGCCCTTCTGATCTGTCGGCGCCCTTCTCGCCCTTCAGCGCTCTTCTGGCCTGTCGGCACCCTCTTCACATTCGGCGCCCTCCGGGCAGACCAGTTAGCGCCCTCATGGACATTATCACACAGCATCCTCCTGATCTGTCTCGCCCTCCACACTTGTCAGCGCCCTCCTGACCTGGCAGCGCCCTCCTGACCTGGCAGCGCCTATCGTATTATAGCGCCCTCCTCACCGTACAGTGCCCTACTGACCTGTCGCCATCCTCCTCACTGCATAGCGGCCTCCTAGCCATACAAAGCCCTCCATACCGGCGCCCTCTACGTTCAGCGCCCTCCTGACAAGTCGGTGCCCTTTTCACCGTAGACGGCCCTCCTGATCTATCGGCGCCCTCCTGACCGTACATCGCCTTCCTCACCTTGTCCGTGCCCTCCTCTTTATACAGTGTCCTCCTGACCTGTCAGCGCCCTCTTCACTCGTATTGTGCCCTTTTCATCGTACAGCATCCTCCTCACCATGGGCGCCCTCCTGACCTGTTGGCGCTCTCCCCACCATACAGCGCCCTGCTGCCTTGTCGGCGCCCTCTTCACGGACAGCGTTCTCCAGATCTGTCGCAGCCCTTATCACCGTACAGCGCCCTCCTGACCTGTCGGCGCCCTCCTCACAACACATCGCCGTTCTGACCGGTTAGCGTTCTCCTCACCATGCGGACAATGCAACACTTTGCAATTAGGAAAGCGTGAAGTAGCCTATGCTTAACCCTCGCCGGCACAGGCCATTTTGCGTCATTCGACGGCACAAGGGGGGGGGGGGGGGGATTGGTACGACCCCCCCTCGCGATTGGCCCCTGATTGAGCTAGAGCTTCGCGGAAAAAACGAGCGTGTTGCCCGTCACGAGAGGAAGCCGATGATATCCAATTTTAAGATCCTAGGTCATCGGGTGACATTCCAGGTCAGGTCAATGACCCGAAAATCGGGAAATTCGGGACCTGTTAGAAAGTCGTAAAGTGTGGCTGCTATGGAGTTCTCCGGGGTGCTGATCGCGAATATCGTGTTAGTTTTGATCAGAGATGATGGCTTTAAGCATTCAGACCAGGTCGGGTCAGGTCAGGTCAGGTCAACCATAGGGGTCGTGACGGGTATTCGTAATACGTGTCAACCGCCTCTGACAGCTTCGTAACATGTTACGAAGGCACCAAAACTACTTCGTAAATGTTCAACTGGTTGCTAGATTCGAAATCAGCTCCAAAAACTAGCCTAGAAACATGTACAACTCGAAAAAGTGAACCGAGGTTACCAAAGGCCAATGACCTGACCTGACCTTCAGGTGACCTTGACATCCACCCTAATGCATGGGAGCAACAACAAATCACATGTTTGAACGTTTGAAACCACGAAAAGCTTGCAAACGCGCGCCTAATGCGAGCCGACATACGCCGAATCGCGATTCCGGCCAAACATGGTCTCGGAAGTAGGTCACAGGTCAAAGGTCGTTTGGGTCAGGGTCATGAAATTTTCAGGGTAGGTGTACAATTGATCAATGCGAGGGTACTGAAAGTTTCGTCGCGATCGGCCGCTTTTTACGCGAGTTATTCGCGAAAAACCTTAGGGGGGTTGCATCACCTGTGCACCCCCTGTGCCGGCGAGGGTTAAAGTGATTTTAGGCGCAAATTAGTAATGAAGCAATTTCCGGAAAATAAAAGGATGACAACGTTTCCAGCGTTTCCGGAACGTTTCCGGAAAGGAACTTGTTTACAACCGTGACCCTCAAAATCGTATTCAAAGCCAAACTTGCGGGGAAGGCCAGCTGACAAGTGTACGCACCGGTGACGTCACGGGTAATGTTAAACAGTCGGGCGCCCGGCACATAGGAAAGCTCGGGATGACAGCCCCCTGGTGTGGGGCTGAGAGTGCGGATAGCGTTCTTTCTTTTGTTTGGTGGGTAAAACCATTTTAATTATGTTAAATAGCTCCTAGCATCCATTAATAATATCAATTTACTTAGCGATTTGCACATATATTTGTATGGTTGGCTTACACGTGATTCGTAAAGCGAGAGCTCTTGATAGAAGTGCCTCATTGACTTGGCCGACTTCAACTTGGCCTTGACGGCCTTGACCAAGCTGACCAAGCCTTTACAGTTGTTGCACTGGTTAGTGGGATGATGTTACCGTTTTTTAATGTTCGCTCGAATGTTTGAATGGACAGACTAACTGAGCCTGAGACTATACTGAGTTTGGTGTTGCCTAGACGTTGTGGCGACATGATTATGACCTACCAGCTCAGTAGGCGGAACTATGGTCAAGCGTACCCATTTTCGGGAACGTATTTTCGTTCCCATTTTTGGGAACGATAAACCCAAATATGGGAACGCCATGTAGGCATTATTTAAAACAAGAAAAAGAACCGTTAAATGACGTCCAAAAAATATAAAACGATCGTGAACCGCCTGATATTTGTCTCAATATTGTTGGGAAAGAGTTTGATTTTGTAAGGCCCATCGTAGTTTCAAATCGTTCCCCTATTTCTAAAGCAGTCCATCATCCGGGCCGCGAGCCCAAATTTGGGAACGCTCTCGTACACTGGCGCTACAAGCGTTCCTTATTATGGGAACGGCGTACCCAAAATTGGGAACGATTTCACCGACGCCTTTCAGGGGCTCTTTTCATTAACAAGCATCACGCCCAACGCCGCAAATTATTGTTAACGCAACTATCATCAGATGACCTTTCCGGCAAGACCGACGCATGTTTCGCCGGGTCTTCCGCGCTCTTATTCCCGTCGATCTCGCAGCGGGCACGCCCCCCTCTGCAGGATTACGTAATTCACAACGCTCAGCGATGTTCAACAAGGTCTTCCATACCTATATCCACCGTCGGCGCCGAGGGTGGAGACATGTCAAGCACCTGTCTGTTTAACACCGATAGTTGACGAGCACAAGGAAGTATCCAAAAATGGGAACGCTGAATATGTTACACCCTCAAAACACCTAGTCCCAATGAAAATCTAGTTTTTTCCTTTCTTAATGAGTGTAAGTGGCAAAAGGCCTGGTAGGATGGGCACGAGGAATGATCAAAATCAGCATAAAAATTATAAATAAGCCACACAGAGAGACCTATATAAGAGAAATTCCCCCAAAACGATCATGCTTAGAAACACGGAGGACAAAAACCACGCTCATGACGCTCCTTATAAAACAACGCTAAACAGCTAGCATCCAAATAAAATATGTCTTTCCGGGCTGATAAAATACAGCTTAATAATTTTCGACCACTTAAACTGAGTTTACAACAGTAGTTCGGTAAAATCACTGACGTTCCACGCGGTCGTGCGCCCCGACACCAAAAGTCAACAATATTACCTCGGGACTGTCCGCGTGTTCGCTTGCATATGTCAGCATCTGGTGTCGCTAGTATGAAACTTCATAACCAGGCGAAAATTATTTTACTTGACCTCAAAATGTAAAAAATGCTTCATTTTCCTTAAAATTGCATGTTAAATGTAGTATAACCCATGTTTTCACCATTCCGTCATTTCAAAAAATCATTAAAAATATCATTCGACGGTCAATTTCCTTGTTCCACGGTCAGATTAAAGATAATTTTATATAGACTCAGTAGATACTTGAATTAGCGTGCACTTTTTTGAGACGTGATGCACTAATGAGTTTAAGTGGGTGAACGGCCGGAAAATTACCTTCCGTTCTCATAAATGGGAACGCCCGTTCCCATATTTGGGAACTCCGTTCCCAAAAATGGGAACGTTCCTATATTTGGGTACTCATGACCATAGTTCCACCTACTGAGCTTTTTCACGGCGGTGTCAACGTTGATCCTGGGTCTTTTTTTTTAGTTGGCTGATTCTACTACGAGAGGGCACTCCTGGAAGCTATTGAAGCTGAGAGCGTCTTCCCGATTGAGGCGAAACGCGTACAGCGTGCGGGTCGTCAATGACTGGAAAGTGGAATGGCCTCCCTGCTCACGTAGTCGAAGCGAGATCCTTGAATGAATTCAAGTCCAGGCTCGACCGCCACTGGACCCACTTCCTCTATACTCTTACCTGGTACTCTTACCTGGTGGGGCTCCTTCTGCTTCACAGCCGGTAGTAAGGACTGGAGCAGGAGGAACCCGGATAGGATCAGGACACGCCAGTCACAGTCTCCCCACAATGATGCCCTGTAGACATGGCCAGATGACTGGAAAGTGTGTGTCCTCGTGGCATATGCCATTGGAAAACAACACTTATCGGTATGTTTGCACAAATATCGCGAGTCAGATGTAGTCATACAATGTGTTACCTAGTGCCTGTGCGAGAAGTCGTTTGAAAGACGACAGATCTGAAGCGGCCACCACGGCCTCTGGCAAACTATTCCAGATAGCCACCCGACGATGCGAAAACGAGCGCTGCCGCACGTTCGAAACAGCACGTGCTACATGCAGCTTGAAGCAGTGACCACGAGTTCCACCTCGGGGAGGCTGATGGAAAATGTCCTCAGGGGTTATTGTGCTCTTCCCATGGAAAATCTTCTAGTACTGTATCAGATCGGCGCGAATTAGTCGGCCTTGCACAGAGAAAAGGTCAAGTTCCTTCAGCCTCTCCGCATAAGTCATGTCATGCATCCCTTCAATGTATTTTGTCCATCTGCGCTGTACCCTTTCTAGTTTATGCACATCCTCAGCATATTCGGTGTACCACAGACAAGACGCATACTCAAGCACAGGCCTTACATGCGTCCTGAGAAGGAACAACATGAATGCGGGTGATCGACAAACTGTAGCCTTTTTAAAATTGTGACACAGTCCACCGGCCTTATGCACTACAGTGGCTATATGTAGATGAAATTTTAACGAATCATCGACCAACACTCCTAGGTCACGCTGCGAGTGATGGATCGGAAGTGGTGTACCGTCTAACGTGTACAACGGCTGAGATTGGCTACAGAACTTCCGGGAAAATCTCAACACCGCACACTTCGCCTTGTTCATGCGCAAGCCCCAGGACAGAGAGGTCTTACACAGCACGTCAATATCTTGTTGCAGTGTCGGATCTGTCTGGGGATACAACGACACAGAGTTGCGCGCAACAGAAGCATACAATTTAAGGTCATCGGCAAACATCTTAAAAGTACAGGAAAGCTTTGAGCACACAAAATTAATATATATCAAAAACAACAGCGGACCTAACACGGAACCTTGTGGAACACCACTGCACACGTCTCTGCTGCTGCTTAAGTTACCACCAACACACACCTGCATGACTCTAATCCACTCCAACGACTGATGCAGTGATATTGCCTCGGAGCTCAATAAATCAGAGTCCCACAGGCCTAACGGCCTTAAAAATTCTCGTACATCGTAAGTGTGTTGCCTAGCCCTATTCCTGGCGGGGGGGGGGGGGCCTCAGGAGCCCCCCCCCCCTGAGGTTTTTTGGTTATATCTCCCAAACGCGTTGAGCTAGGAAGCTCAAATTTTCTGACTTTTCCTAAAAGGCTTCTACGCAACATGTCTGAAAATTTTGAGTTGATCTGACCTCAGGTCAGGTCACCAGAGGCGGTTTGGTGACGCTACCTCAGAAAAGTTTGCAATCACGCCAGAGCTAGAGTTTTTGACCGATCAATTTCTTCTCTTCAGGGTTTAGTTAGGGTACCAGTATGTGCAATTTGTATATCTCGGAATTTTGATATCGGTGACCTAAGGTCAGGTCAATTTCGCGACCTCCCCATTATAAGTCAATGGGGGAAAAATCAACTCCCTGTTTTTACCACTAAAACGGGTCGGAATGGCCCCATATACCATACATGACTTCATATACGATCAACCTTCACTACCTTGAGGTCTGTTTTGCTGTTGGGCAGCTGTGAGGTCATGTGACGTCATCAAAGGTCACCAAAGGTTTTTGGCCAATAACTCCGTACAGGAACAAGATACAGACGCGTGGATGGTCTCATTGTGTTCAGCTCGTCAAGACGCATCGAATGATATACATGATGACCTCGAGGTCACGTGACCTGAGGTCAACCTTTGACCTTGACCTTTCGAGGTCAACATATATATCATTCGATGCGGATTGACGAGAGGATCACGATGATGCCCTTAGTTTGTTCCTATCTTGACTAATTCGAAAGTTATTCGAGAAAAACTCTCTCCATATCTAGCGCCGCCATTTTGACTTTTTCGACCCCTGTGACGTCATCTTTGACCTGACCTGAAAATGACCTTAGTAAAAATTGTAGATCTTGGCCGTGCGTATCCGATGCCGTTTACCGCTTGTCGCTATCTTGCTTCGTTCTTGAGATCTCAGGGGGGGGGGCCGAATCGGCCCCCCCCCCCCCGCCAGTTTCTTGTCCCGGCGGAGCCCGCCAGGAATAGGGCTAGACCCGACCTTTACTATCCATTGATTCTTGCAATTCCACGTAAGGGGACTTGTGACGCTTTGGGTGTCGGGTGACGCCAGCTTTACCGGTACTGAATTAACCCTCGCACGACCAGGCCATTTCTCATAACACGAACGACCAGGGGGGGGGGGGTTGTTACGACCCCCCCCCCTTGCGTTTCGAAACGGTAGGTCGTAGAGCTTAGCGGAAAAAACCAACGGATTGCTCTCAACGAGATCTCGCGATTGGTGGTATATTTTTGGTCCTAGGTCAACATTTGACCTACTTTTGACCGGTCAAAGGTCAAATTTTCGGAAAAATAGACTTTTTTCAACTTTCGGCGGCGATTGCGGCAAAACGGTGAGAGATATCGACTTGAAACCTTCACTATCGTGTTCCTTGATCAATTCTCTATCGTTTGGTATGTATTTCGTTTCCCTAGCTCTAAAAATGGCGCGTTGGGAGCGCCGGAAGTCGGCAAGGTCACAGTCGGCGGCAGAAATTCGAAAAATCAAAATTTAAATTTTTGAAATCTGATTGCATTTTTGGATTTGGGAGGTCCATTTGCTCTCTATAGAAGCTAATATTGCTGCATATTCCCAGTGAGGTGACAAGAATTAGCAAAATAGTGGTTCGGGCGCTTTTCAAAAATAGTACCGGACGCTGTTCCTCTTGTGACGTCATAGCTCCGTGACCTGACCTGACCCGGTCAAATTTCTTATACCATATGATAGCCAATACTTGCCCCAACATGCATGGGAAGTTTCATCACGATCCATCAACCGATGTCCGTACCACCGGCAGGAAACCTCGGGCGTTGGCACTCAGTTTGTGAAAATCCGGCCGGAGGCTGTACCTCTTATGACGTCATAACTCCGTGACCTGACATGAACCGATCAATTTTTTTTCGGCAAAAGATGCGCAAAGGCTGCCCCAGAGGGTATTGAAAATTTCAGCCCGCTACGACAAGCCGTTTAGCGTGCACTTCGAAAAAACCTCAGGGGGGGGGGTTGTATCAACCCCCCCCTAGGCGTTCTAGGGGGTTCTAGTTCTAGGTGCCAAAGATTAATGTAGGTCCCCTTCAAAACTGGGTTGGTAATAGTTAAGCAATAAGCAGGCATCACACCTTTTTTTGCAACCAAGGAGAGGTGCTGTAGGTTAGGTTGTAGATTGTAGGTTTTAGGTGGTAGTTTTCTTAGGTTGTAGGTTGTAAGTTGTAGGTTGTAGGTAAGGTGAGGTCAGGTTTTGTTTGGTTTGGCTTGGTTTGATTAGAAGAAAACATCTGTGGGTATAATGTCTCTCCTTGGTTACAAAAAGAAAAAAAAACAAGTGTGATGCATGCTTTACAACTACCCAAAACTGGACACAGGCTGTCCCAACTCCCACTCAACTGACTTAAACTACCTGCATCTGCCCACACCAACCACAGAACATCCCCGTCAGGTGTCTCAACTATCAATTAACAACTATCAAGGGCCAGAATGATGAACTAGGGCTATTACTGCTCTGCCATGCAAAGGCCAGACTTGAAAAAATACATGTGTTGTGGTGGTGTGAAATCACTGCAAGTGATAACCAAACACCCTACCGATTAAGTTAGGGAGACCTTATCCACTAGTTGGGTAACAAAGCAGGTTTCTGCTTGACTGCTTTTACTTGTAAAAGTATAGCGTTGAATTATGAAAAATACGCACTATTTTTCCTAGTTCCCCACTTCGACCCACCCTTGAACCTTTTGTCTAGTGATTTCATAGCATTCTGTTTTCTTTTCAGATTGACTGAAGAATATTTTCAAAATGACAGCAACATTTGATCCTGATGACAAAGACAGGTAATAATTGTCACTTGGTCAGTTTGTTTCTTTCTATAGTTTCTTTCTATAGGGCACCTTAAATACCTATGTTTGGTCAATATGTAAGTGATACGACTTGCTTGTATTTAATGGCTCCTTTCAATAGTTATATAGTTGATTTGCAGATACTGATGCAAAAAGCTTATTCGTCTTTTCATCTTGTCATTAGTTCCATCTGATAACATATTTTTTATTGACATAGCCTACCCACATGTGCATGAAACATTACTATTCTATATCCTGCTCTGTTCTATGTATGAAAATGTGTTTTAACAACACCATAAAATGTATGAGCGGATATGAACCATCACTCCAGCGAACCAGCGAACATTCCATCACACATGCTTTTCACCTGCTCTCACCCATGTGTTTCCTTTTCAGCTGGTACTTTGGGCCGATGTCTCGGCAGGACGCCAATGACCTTCTGCTGGCGGAGAGCGAGGGGGGCGTGTTCCTCGTCAGAGACTCCACCAGCATCCAGGGGGACTACGTGCTCTGCGTCCGTGAGGACAGCAAGGTGTCGCACTACATCATCAACAAAATCGTCGAGGATGACCAGGTGAGCCAACGACAGTGATAAACTGTGAGCTCAGTCGAAGAGACAGGATGGTATGCACAGTGCTGTACAGTTGTATTATTAGTTTTTCATGCGCACCAGTTATGAGAGAAAGCTTTATTCATTTTTAACCCAGTCTCGTAAGCCCGCAGGCGCACATTGCCCGTGCTGCCCCCCCCCCCCCCCCGATATATCCATCCTTGCTAGCCGGCTGCCCGAGTGGACGTGGTAAGGTGACCTGTAGGCTGGCTGCTACAATAGGGCTCCAGGCGCCCTGCCAGAGTGGGTCACCAGTACCAAGCTTAGTAACACCTACATGACACACCACACGACCTGCCGTGTACTCCGACTGTAATTGTGTGTGACTTCTTTTTGGTTTTCTACTATGTCTATGATAACAGTCTCTTTTGCAGGCATATGACCTTCAATTTATGATTTATCTGACCGTTCTGACCTCTGTCCGTGGCAGGTGCGGTTCCGGATCGGTGACCAGATGTTCTCCGATCTGGCCAGCCTGCTGAACTTCTACAAGCTGCACTACCTGGATACGACCCCGCTGGTGCGCCCGGCGCCGCGCAGGGTCGAGAGAGTCGTCGCCAAGTACGACTTCGACGGACGGGTGAGTACCGAGTACCACGGAAAGGAGGGGTGGTGTGGTTTTGAATAGGATAGACCGGTACTGGAGTGGTATGGGGTTGCATGCATTAGGCGAACAGATTCTATCGGTCGTATTAGTTGGTACATTTTTATAGGATTCTTGCTGTGATAAAGAAGTAACTAGTAAGTAGTAACCGTGGGGTATGAATAGTAACCCGAAGCGGCAGATTTCGGTCCGTTGACGTCTTTCCGGCATTGGCTGCCCGGATGGTGCCAGCACGCCTTGGTTAGAATGCTGCCTCCTCTCGGCCCCAAGCACCCTCTGATACGCCATGGACTGAAGAGGAAGACAACCTTACGATACTGTATTCGATGCCGTTGCACTCTCTATTCTCACCACACGTCTAAATGTTTTGGATATCACGTGTGAGGGGAGCGACCTCCTCTCGATACTGTCATCTCGGCGCCGCCTGTCGCTGTCTCTCCACTATTCGCTGTGTAGACGCTGTGGACTTTCCGTGAAGGGTAATCGTCACAGCCGACTGTCACTCCGTGACTGCTCGCTGTGATGCGGTACAGTTCATATGCGCGGTTGCACCCAGCGAACTGCTCTCAGCTGAATCATTGATACCAACGCATACCATATTACCTGAGCGGCGATAAAGGTGGCATATATTTTCCGATAATTAGCTATTTTACTCAGATACTGTCCGGCGTGTCCGCACTGTTTAAACACTGTTAAAGGCTTGTTGAATACGCAGTAGAATGCTGCGAGCGCGTCAGTTCATCACTTTTCTCAATTGTTTGCAAGTAATCCTTTCCTAAGCGTAAAACGTAAATAAGTAATTAATTAAAGACGTATTTAAAATCTCTGTTATGGGCGCAAAATGACCTCGCAGTCGGCGCGTCCCTAAACCCCAACAAACAACAAACAAACAAACAACTAATAGTTAGCGAAACACACCATCATGTTCGAATGGTGTTCATATTTCGATTAACAACACCGAGAAGTTTTCTTTGCAAACACTGCAGATCAGAGGAACGTATCGATAGATGGTATCGAATATCGATGATACACGCTTATCAACCCTGCAGATAAAACGTTCGCTGGTGAAATACTTTAAATTGTTCGGGCTTTGAAAACATGATTGGGCATGAACGTTGAACATTGCCGTTTTGGTCGGGATATGTTTGATAGGAGAGGGGAAGATGACGGGTGTCCTTTTCACTCGTCGATGAGTCGCGACCAAGTCCTTCGCGCGTAAATTGCCTTTTAACAGCATTTCTGTTTTAGCCTTTCTCCTTATAATGCTGCAGGTGCATAACCAAACAATGATAGCTAGTATCATATTTAAGCATAATATTAGCAATATGAGGGAGACCCGCGTGGCAGGGAGCTCTGAAGGATGTCTATCTAGCCGGTGATCGCCCTTTCTACTCAGGCTGGCGCGTTCCTCGCTGCTGGGTCAGAGAACGGCTAACAGATGCCAATTTCGCCCGTCTAACTCGCGAATGGATGTGTTTTGCTGGGCGTAATCACAGCCAATGTATCACGAGGCCTCGCTGGCTGCGTGTGTCATTGCGTTACTCAACCGGAACTGACGGTTTTAGGCCACTAACGTTGGCTCTATTTTTGAATCACCACTCATCAGTACAAAGTGCAATACAGGTCAGCGCGTCTCGCATTACTGCAACGCTGCATCGTTGACCGGTACCGAACTTCCATTCACCCGAGTGCAGTTCCACACTCCTGCGAGTAAGGGTCGTCAGTCGGACATGGACTGCCGAACGCTGGCGGCGCTCCAAAGCGCACCGTTCCGCTCGGGTGACCCCAGCGGCCGAGCGCGCACGGTCACTGTGGCTCAGTATGGTCGCGTGTCGGCATGTGCCCGCGCCGGGGCCCGTCCAGTAGCGGCCGGGAGGTGGGGACGGCTGGCGCTGGACTGGTGCCAGATCGGACAGGTTCCGCCTGTGCCATACGGCTCAGAGCGGTCGGCAACGGGGCATGGCACGATTCCGCGGCGCTGAGCCCTGCATGGGGTGGGTCTGGGTATATGTAGCGTATTGGGCGGAATAAGTGCTGGCTTGGTTTGACGATGTCAACGATGGCGTTTATGTGAAACGTGTGAAGTAGATCGGGTAATGAGGCACACATCCCATCGTCTCTCGCCAGCACCGCCAATGTCTGCTGCACCGCCCACCGTCCGCCCACTGGTGTTTCCCGGAGCCTATTAACCTTGGAGTGGCGACTGGCAGGGCGGCCGTGCACTACTCTCAGCGACGCGCCGCGGCCTGTCAAACCGACCTTCCGTGCCCGAGAGCGGCAGACGCGCCGGCTCCAATGTGAACGGACGTCGCCAGTCCGGGTTAATGCGGGTTAAATGGGGGCCAATGGAGGGTTAACTGTGGGAGTGGAGTGAACCTGGAGGGTTTAATGTGAGATAGTATTGAGGACTGAATATATTGACTGAACCTTGCTAGCTGAAAACAGCGGAGCCTTTGTTGTGCTATTTCGTGGACCTATCGGATACTTTGAATGAGAATCGTTTGCCTATAATGCTTTTCTTAATATGTTTTCACGCCGCGTGCTTGCAAACTCCAAGGTCATTATAACGTGCTCCTGACGTTCCGCTTCCGCTGCGACAGGATGAGGAGGACCTGCCGTTCAAGAAGGGTGACGTGCTGACGGTGGTCTCCAAGGACGAGGAGCAGTGGTGGACGGCCCGAGACTCGCTCGGACAGACCGGCTCCATCCCAGTGCCCTACGTGCAAAAGGTGGGTACGCGACGCAGCGTGTCGGCGTTGGTCGTAGGTCTCCGTGCAATGGTGTGTTTTGCAATCTCTATTCAAATGTTTGCTTTCATGAGCTATGCTTTGAGCTCAATCTATTGCGTCAGTGACGGAGAAGGTCGTGTGCACCGGAAACTGGTGTCTGAGTTGTTATGTGCTCACTCATGGGTTATTTGGAGTCACTTCCGCAGCTTTGTGAGCTGTCGTTTTCTGCTTACCGTAATCAATTGATATAGTTCTTTTTGAGCTCCCATAAACTATCAAGAAGTCGGGGTCGGGGCAGTCCAACCGGAAGCTGTGCTTCATTATTTTACAGCATTCTCTCATGCTGCCACGGGCGTCACTTTCCGAAATTTATTTGCGAGTCTTTTATGAGTGATTCTATATAGAATGTCACATCAATTCTTACCCTGAAACGCCATAGGCTTACATTGAGATACCGAAGCAACTACTTGGTAGGGACCAGGCCTATGTAAAACGGTACCCATGCGTGCTGCTGAATTTCCGCCAGTTTTCGCGAAGTTTCCTGGCTAAGTGCGTACATCGCTATGTCCTGCGGGAAAAGCAACTCTATGACTTCAATCTCACTCGCTGCCCGATATAGTGTAGCCTGCAAAAGATTGCAACTACCGCTAAACAAATGTCAGTAGCCTACCGCTCTGCACACGGAGTTGAAATCAATCTGCACACATAACTGCAACTGCAGAATTTACCTCACAGAAATGTCAGTCGTGGGCGTCTTGTTTATTGATCGGAGTAGATAGGTGCTTTATCACGCAGCATTGGACGACAGGGAGATAGAGGAAGGTCTATCCTTCCGTTGGAGGCGTCAGGAGCAGGGACTGTTGTCGGTCGACAGGACCTGCAGAGTTGTGGAAGCAGTGAGGGAGTTTGGCACTAATGTGGTTGACTGAGAGGAAAAATAGCGCAGACTGAGCGGTAACTTCGTATCATAGCGTGCAGTAGTATTGTGACGAAGAAGCAGAGCCCGCTGTCAGACCCGGATACGCTGCTGGGCTGGTTATCAACAGAATAGGACGGGATGTGGCAGTGTGATAAATAGTGTCGTGACACTGCAGGGATGTAGATGGGGTGTACAGTCTTTGGCTGGGTGCCCTCTCAACCAGTCCTCTCTCTCTCTCTCTCTCTCTCTCTCTCTCTCTCTCTCCTCTCCTCTCTCTCTCTCTCTCTCTCTCTCCTCTCTCTCTCTCTCCTCTCCTCTC